TCTTTTACTAAAAGTATAAAAACTCTAGCTAATAGAATAAAAAGCTAACTGAAGGGTAAAAGTGGTGAAACACTAGCTAAAAGCTAAAAATATCAAAAGATTAGCTAAAACGAAAAGTATTAAACTATAATCATCAATGCTAGCCTAAAGCCAAAAGTAGCAACATCTTCACTAAAAGTAGCAAAACTTTTATTACATCTCATCTAATGGTATAAATCGACTAACTGAAAGGTAAATGCAGCACCAGTTATAAGCTTAAAAAAAAGTCCACAGTTCAGCTAAAAGCTAAAGGTATTAAAAAGCTGTTATAGCTAGAAGCAAAAAAGTAACAAGTAGCAATAAACCTGAAATTAAAAGGGGCCAAATGGTAGCTAACAGCTAAAAATATCAAGTCTATTAAAAGCTAAAAATATTAAAAACCTATAAGTATCAATGGCTAGCTAGAAGCTAAAAAGTAATAAACAGAAAAAAAAACTTTAAAGTAAAAGTAGCTGTATGGAAGCTAAAAGCTACGATACTATTTTAAACAAATCTACTCTGAAAGAATGATGCTTGTGAAGGAACTGAAGATGTTTTTATTGAAAGTGTTTCTTTACAAGTCAGTTTTTTAAAGTATAAAAGTTACAAAAACAAAACTTGTAACACCCGACTCCTGAATGTTTTCATATATTAGCAGTTAAAGTAGCACAGAGTATGCAGAACTTGCCAGATTGCAAAGAACAACAAAAAACAAAAATAAAACAATATTGTGAAGTCAGCATTTTACACAACCAGCACAAACCAAAACACAGAAACACAAACAATATCTGGTTCTAGTTTTTTAGGTTTGGAATTATGTAATGAATTGTTTTCAATCCAAACCTGCAATAATCACCTCATGGTATGTGCTATCACTGTGTGTGTGTGTGTGTGTGTGTGTGTGTGTGTGTGTGTGTGTGTGTGTGTGTGTGTGTGTGTCTGTGTGTGTGTGTGTGTGCAGGAGCAGAGGGCTTGATAATTGGCTTGTGCTGGAGTGTCAGATGGCTGAAGAGGGGATAATGGCAGACTCAAGCTGCTGCCACGGGGTGGAGGTGGGGTGTGTGAAGGCCTCGAGGAAAGGGAGGGAAACATGGCTTTTTGTGAATGGGCACCTCCCCTCTCTTGACCCCCCCTCCTCCCATTCAGGGCCTGCCGAGTCCCTTTGTGGCGAGGGGATGGGAACCCAGGAACCTGGCAGAAAGCGGGTGACCTTCCAGCACCTTGCTCTCGCTGCCTCTCTTCTCCGTCTCTTTTCTCTTTCTTGACCCTCCTCTTTTATATTCTCCTCCTGCTGTCTCCCCCCTCTCTCTCTCTCGCCTGCCCTGCTTTGTCCCGTGTCTCATTTTTCAGTGCATCTATTTTATTTTAAGGCCTCTTTTTCTCTCGCTCAAGTCTTGTAAGAAAGGCAGTTCTCCCCCTCTGCCCTAAGCAGGCGAAACACAGCGGTGGAAGGAAGAGTGAAACAAAAGAGAGGAAAAGAGAAGCTAGAGTTTAGTTATGGAAGAGCAAAGGAAATGGCCAAAGGAAAAGAGGGCTTTAGGTAGAAAAGGATGCAATTAAGGTAGAAACTATTGAGGAGAAATAAAGCAGGCAAGACATTTACTGTATTTGAAGCTGGTACATAAATCCTGCAAGTTCTAAACCTTTAATTTACACGCTCCCCTCCTTTTCTGCCCGGGGGGCTCGATGCTGGTTGAGTGAAGGCAGTTGTTTTTGTGTAATGACATGAGACCGAGTGGCTGTTTACTTCCTCAGCTTGGCCGCTGGACCTAATGGACCTCACTTTATATGCAGTTCGTAGGCTAAGATGAAAAACAAGCTCGTGTTGAATTAGTTGGCCAACACTTAAATGTAGTTAAAGTACCAGTAATTGTTCTTTCTGCCTGTGAATTCACACTACTACCAGTGTGCTGTGCTTATTTGATGGTCTCATTTTAAATATGTTCTTAACACCATCTAAMGACAGGAAAACTAATAAAAAGTCTATATTTCATCAGTTCTTATCAGCTTGGTTTATATTCACATGACTAAAACCTGCAAGGAGCTGTTTACTTAGTAACAACACACAAAACAGAGTCTGGGCTGTTTTATGTATTGCAACAAAATATGTACTGGTATGTACCCAGTTAGAACCAAGTAAATACCTGATAGTTACAAGGTATCTAAYGTATTATAAAAACAACATTCTGGTCTCAGTTTTAGAAATGCTGAGTGCATTGATGGTAGTTAACCTGGTACCATTACATAGTTGGGAGAAATGCTTATTATATTTTATATACTATTTACCTGGTATTAGCTACTTTTCTTTCTTTATCTTTATATTTATTTATTTAACAGGGACAATGCATACAAAAACATAGAACAGCTCAAGTCTGTAAATGATGCATTGCACAAAGAGTATATAGCTACAGCTAATTTGTAGGGGTGTAAGATAATATTGATACACTGAAATATCGCGATATTTCATTTCCCGATACTGTATCGATATTCTAAAGCCCTGTATCGATTTTTTTACTAAGTTTTAAAACGTCAACTTTCCTGCCAGCCGTTCATTTTTATGTTGTAGTTCAGCCTCTGACCACGAGCGAAACGTAGCTTTTATTTGCAGAGGCAATAAGTTCCATAATGTTGCACTTTTGTATGAAAAGGTAGTCTGACCAAATGAGGTTCTACATAGTGGAGTTATACAGTTCTGTTGTAATGATCCTCTAGTGACCCTGTCGCTGT